AAAAAACGAAAGAAATGCGTTAATTTTGAAGAAAAAGCTTCAAACTTTATTTTCCATTGTCTCGCCTTTCTGTGAAATCTGACACCGATGAGTCATTGTGTTTACAGCTGGATGACCTGGAGAACAGCTGGTGTTGGGATTTCCCGGGACATTCTCATAGAAGTCTCGGGAGGAGAAGGGTTTAAAGTAGAGTGAATACTAGCTGGCTGTATATTTTTAAATATTTTTCAAAAATTACGTTTTTTTATTGCGATTTCCGACCCCCCGACTTAATTAAACGTATATATAATAAAATATATTAATTTAAAAAAATTAAAAAACTATTGGAGGTCGTTTTTGACATCAGAAACTAGCTTTAAATAACTTTATCGAAGTAAAATCCGTGCACTACTACTTTAGAACGATGAATGAAATTTGATAAAAAAACTCCCATTAAAAAACAATTAAGAGTTAATCGTGCGTCATTAAAGGTATATTAAAATCGCGATAAAATATTTTCGCGCGGGAAAAAATTTTTGAAAAAATTTGGAGACTTAAAAAACATCCAAAAAAAACAAAAATTTTTTCGGAGGGCCCAAATGCCCGAGTTTTATATAACGCTATGGAACTTTCCCGAGTTATCTCGGGTTTTAAAGATTGCAGCATTACTTCTTGCCGCCTGCGTATGGCTATGATTGGTCATCTATATTCAGCAAACGAAATCAACAACGCAGTTAAGGAGACAAATTCCCTGACTTTTTGACAATTTTCGACAAATTCCCTGACTTTTTGACAATTTTTGACAAATTCCCTGACATTCCCTGACTTTTTCAAAAAATAATGAAAATCCCTGACTTTCCCTGATTTTCCCTGACTTTCCAGGTGCGTAGGAACCCTGCAGATAGCATAGGGTTTATTATAAAATTAACATCATTAATGCTATAGCCCTTGCAAAAAAATAATAACTAAACATATTGATGTCAATCAATTTCCAAGTATTTCCAAGGTACTGTACATACTATGTATGATCTTAATTTGAAAATGGATAAACAAATAAATTTACGGTGCATGCAAATATTCATCAATTTTCTTTTGTTTTACATTGGCTAAACACAAGAGTAAGGCCTTGTCTCTCAGTCTCCTCAGAAGTAAAAGTTCATTGTATGATGCACCATTCTCTTCAGCCCATTGCATACTGAGCTGCATATAGGCATGTCAGATTATAGGGGGTTCCAGATTAGACAGGGGCCAGATTACCGTGAGTATACTGTATTATATAAATCTTAATATAAATAAAAATTTCATATTAAGATACCATAATTTATTAAAAGCAACTGTTTGTAATATTTCATCAGATTAGGGATCGAATACATGGTAGATTAGAGAAATCAAATAAATATACAATTCTGTGTAAAAAAAATTGTCATAATCTTCAAATCCACTCTTTTCTATCTTTCAATGTTAAAATCTTAAGTCATTCTGCTAATAATTTATAATGTATCTAATCAATCTGTTATTTCACTGTATTTTTTAAAAATTGTATGTGATAATGCTAAGTAGTTTTTAAATATTCATCATTTTAAGAAATTCACAACATTGGAATAAATTATTTTTTTTCAAAAAATTAAATATTTAAAATAATAATTATTAGATTTATTTGTTGTTATACAGATGTATTGTTTAAGATGTCCTGACACCTTTGTTGTTGTAAAAGTTTGTGATTTACATCACAATAGGAAGCAAAAGAAACTTGTCAGATAGAACAAGAAAAACAATCCAAATATTACTGTATTTTTGCAGAATAATCGGCATACCACATAAAAACAAGGGAGACCAGCATGCCAGTTAAACTGTGACCAAAATATAAAATTAATCAGACCTAACAAAACCAGTTGTTAATTAAACATTAAAGAAAAGATTCTTCAGAGTACAATAAAATAACAACATTGTAATTTTACAAGACAATAAAACAATTAAGGACTTATTGACATTAGTAGTTAGTCAGTGTGGGCTACACTAACCATCTACCAAAACCTTAAAAATAACACACCTTCCTCTCAAATTTCACACAAAGCAGATGTTAATTTGTGTAAGCTGAGATAATTTACAGCAATTTTCTTAAATTTAATATGTTCATTTTTAATTTTTGTATCAAATGACAATAAAATACACATTAAAAAAGCACTTTCGGAATTCCACAAGTAAGTTACATTATTACAAAGAAAAGAAAATGAAAAAATTAAACACATAATTATAGTATTTTATGTAATGCTGACAGTTTCACAGTTCTAGAATAAAAACTTTTTTGTTTTTACCTGACGTAACTCTCTAGAGGGCGCATTAAAAAACAAACGAGTGTGGTTATACATCCCTCTCTAGAGAAAGATGTATAACCTCACTTAAACTGGCTTGCTGATTTTTACCATATGGAAATATCTGATTTCATGGTTCACTCAGATAGACTGGCATGCCAGTCATTCCACAAAAATATGGTATGAAATAAAGGTAAATCTCAATTGGAAATTGCCAAAATCATTAACTGTTCACAAGATACATTATCAAAAATCTTAAAACAAATGAATTTGGAAAAGAAAATCAAATAATTGTCAAAATTGTGGAAGAAAACATTCAAGAAATTTGAGAGATAATTGTAAACTAAAAGCAATTGTAAGAAAAAATTGTTTTAAATCAAGCAGATACTATCAATCTCTATGCAAAAAATTCAGCAAAGTTGCACAACTTTTCCGACTGTTATGAAATTTTATTTAAATAATAACTTTTATATTATTAATCATAAATAAAATGTGTGTGGTGCCATCTGTTGAGATTTTGTTATAAAAATTTTTTATATTAATTGTTATAAAATGGCAAAAAGCTTAATTTTGAGGGTAGTGACAAGTTTTAAAAAATTGTAAATGTTAATAACAAGTAAAATCTTCATTAAGTCCAATCCCTGCCAAGATATGACTCATAATCCCCTCTATCTTCCCACCTATTAAATTTTGGTGGTTAAAAGATCAACTAAATTTATCAATGCTACTTATATAAAGTTACCATGTCAAATTTCATTATTAATCACTAGTCTATCCTGAGATATTAAACAAAATAAAGGCCAACAGACACATGGAATTTTTTATCTATGCCACTGGTTATAAAAATTAGTTATATTCAATTCCATTTCTTTCTTTTCAAAATTACTTTAGTTAGAGATAAGATGTTTTTTTAAATTTATAGTCAAACCTGCCTATAATGAAACCTGTATATAGAAAAAACCTGTCATTAATAGAAGATATCTTTGGTCCCTTGAATTTTCTGCAAAAATCAATGTAAAATTAATTAACCTATATACAGTGGAACCCATCTAATATAGAAACAAAGGAAAATTGGGACATATAATGGAAAATTTGGCATCCTCTTCCACAATAAATGGAAAATTTTTGAAGTTTTTTAACAGCTGTCTTTACTTAACATAGATATGTGATTTAATTATAAGTTTTGAAATTTACTTTACAAACATTGTGAAATTAAATACATTATTGGTAAAGTGAGATTGTATTCTTTGTTTAGAAGCTTATTTTAAACTTTTTACATCACATTTTGTTTGAATAAATCAAGTCAAAATGTCTGATGATAAAATGCATATCAGGCATATTATGCTTTTTAACTTTTGTACAGAATATAACGCTATAAAAACAATAAAAAATACTCAATGTGTGTAAGGGAAAGATGCTCTTAAACTTCAAATTTGTCAAATTTGGTTATGAAAGTTTTGTTTGGGAAATTTTGAACTAAAAGATACAAAATGTATGGACTGCCCAAAACTTGTTGAAGAGAAATTGCAAGGAAAAATTGTTAAAAATCTACAAATGAACATGCAAAAAATCTTTGTGGGTCACAGACACATATCATTGAAACTCTATCAACTTGAAATTGTTGTAAAACATGATGGTGATTATGTTCTGACATATTAAGTGAAAAAAACAAACTGGATCAAGTATAATATTGTCTAATGAAAATAGGAAGCCCTAAAATTTAATTTTATTCTTAAATTAGTTATTCATTTTTATCATAGAAAAATATTTTATAGATGACAATATTAAAGTTAAAATAAAAATATTTGTTGTCAACCAAAAATTTGTTCTAGCAGTGATGATCATTTAGTCGAGTATGAAAGTCTCACTGTATTTGATTAATACAATTTTGATGTATAGAATAGCAATGAGGGATTAATTAATCACATTAATCAAGGGATACCTATAGTAGGTAACCTGTATATAGCATAAATCTGTCTACTGCAGAAAAACTGCTTGATTCCACAGATTTCATTATAGACAGGTTTGACTGTATTTACAAATATCTGGATATCAATCAGCATAAATGAAGTTTTGATTGCTTTCTTAGTAATTTTTAAAAATTGTATTTAAATCATACCTAGTCAACCAGAAAATTATAGTAAAGGGTTTGTTTTATAGAAAGAAATAAATGCATTGGACACTATTTCTGTACAAGTTAATAACTGACTGATTCTGTTAAATACAATAAAAAAAATTGGTTTAGTTCAGCCAATTATTTATGATCCTGCCAAACACTTACTAATCAATTATTACTATTGTGTAAAACTTAATTCCTGTACAGAAACTAAGTATTTGCAGGCTAGAATTTGACAAGTCACAGTGGTTGATGTTTAGCATTGCTAAATAACAGACACACTGAACTTTAAAAACAATGCACTGCACAGTTATTGAAATCAAGGAAAATTTAATCAGACTTGAATATAAGTCAAGGAATGAATACAGATAATATCGATTTTTTCCTCTTTAAAACTTGGAAAAAACATTGACCAATATTTGGGCCAAAACAGTAATTTAAATAAAATTAATTTAATCAATACTAAATTTTGATATAATGTACAGGTATCCTTCATACAACACTAGTTCTGAAAAAATGCTATATTATGTGAATCCATGCTGAACAAAACAAAAGACTAGTTCAAAACATAGAGTTAGGCTCCAAAAGTTAACAAAAGTATACTATTCTTTTTTGTTAGTAAGAGAAATATGTTTGTAGATTTTTGTCCGATGGCAATAATTATGATTAATTATTTGAAGACATAGTCCTTCCCAAAAAAGTACTGTCTTCAAATAATTAAGAAATATGTTTATTAAAGCAATCAATAATTAACTAAATTGCAATTAAAAGTACTGTATTATGCATTAATATTAATTAGTTAAACAAGGGTGTTTTCAAAGTATTGTCATCTTATGAGCTTTTTTGTTGATTTCGATCAGAAATATCATCATTTTTATTTTTATTATAAAAATTGTCTGTATGACAAAATAAAAATATGTTATTAATTAAATGAAAATTTGTTCACAAGTTGCAGTGTGGAGACGAATAATTGCATTTGTTCATTCAAGTACTGAGTGATTTTTTTTCCAGAATTTGTGTTCAAATACTGAATTGTTCAAGGTAGGAACAGTTTGAATACCAAGATACCGTTGTATTTTGTTCATCATTTTTACCAATGATTACTTACCTATGGTTAAAAGTTTAATAATAATACTTACCTAAAACTGTTTAAATAAATTTTAGTAAATATGAAGATTAATCTATAAAAACAAAACACAATGATAGTCTTAAAGTAATGATGACATTTGGTTGACAGAAAAGCTAGGCCAAGAAAGAAAAAAATTGTGCTATCAGTTTTCATTAAAGTAAACCTGATACAGGCACAAAATAAATTAAAAATTTCAATATTCTAAAATCCATGGGCAAATTTGAGATAACATGCATGCTTACTTGAATTAGAAAAATATTGAATGATAAAATTTGCATTTAAAAATTGTGAAATTTTGTACAGAGGATTTCCCAAATTCTCAAATCATGTTGTACAGGAAGATTTCCCCAATTTTCAAACAGTGTTAGAGCAAAACCACGTTGTAGAAATGTCATGTTGTACAAGGGATACCTGTATTTAGTATTATGGTATTTATTGATTATATCCCATTCAGTTTATAACCAATGCTTAGTGTTACACTAGACCAAAGCTGGAATAACTACAGAAAAAGCTGTTTTGTTTTTGTACTATTGTGTATGTATCTGTGTTTATAACTTTCCTGACTATGTGAAGTGTTCAGTATGGATGCTTTCTGTAATATGTGCTCAAGTGAATCCTAATATTTCTAGACTTGTATAGATATGTAGTGTATGTGGTATGATACCTGTGCAAGAAAAAAACCACAAGCACAATAAATACCTTATATCCATTTTCCATAGGCACTTTATTTCATAGAAAGTTTTGAGTATTTATAAATTTTTCAGTGTATGCATTTTGTACATTGTGGGTGTTTGAAATAGTTATATCTATGTTTACAGTATGTGATTTTGTTTTGTTTGTCGATGAATATGAAGTGTAGTGTATTGTGACTGACTGTTTCATTAGATTATGATTCAGTATATTTTGTGTGTGTTATTTTTATGATTGACTAAGAAGTGTTTCTAGAACAATTCTTGGGTATGCAAGCTTTTAATTTATTATAGTTGCTATTTGGCTATGTTGATGTAAGTAGTCTGTGGTAGAAGCTTGCAACCTGATGTATTGTATACTTTAGTATATGAAGTGTCACCTAGAAGTATCATGCCTTTTAAAATGTATATTCTGTATTTGTATTTACGACCTAGTCTTATATAATAGTAAGGGTTTGTGATTATCATACATTATTATTATACAGTAATTTATAAATATAAAAAAAACAATAAGTTTTTAAAATTTACTTTTAGAAAGTTTCATTTACCTGTAGGAGAAAAAAAGCAAGTACTACCAGCATCACTTTGAGCATTTTGGTCTGGTATTCTTGGTATTCCTTCATTTACATGATATGCTAAATATAAAAAATTTACATATTAAAGTTCATTATCATCATCCTAATAAATATTAGCTAAGTTTTAAGTTAAGAAGTAAGTTGATGCAGTTATAAATTATTTATATAAAATTATTTTAATATCAAACACTGACATATATAGCAGAGTCCTGGAAATTCAACTCAATAACTTGACATTCCATAAAGTTTGTGTCATTCAAAATAAAAAAAAAATACATGTAACCTAATTTTTACCTCTAATTTAACACTAAGTAAAATAAGTTATCATTCTTCAATGGCAACACTTTTGATAATAGCATCAATTCCATGTGCTAACAAAAAGCATACATAACCCTTTTACCAAGATGCCACTTCAAAATACCATGATGAAAATGTCACTAACTCTAAAGTAGCCACTGAATAGTTAATATTTTTTAAATTAAAATTTAACTACAAATAGAAATAGTCGCTATTGGTATGTAGTTAATATGTATACAAATTTGAATATATAATATCTTTACAAAAATTCAGTCACTTAGAGTAGCATAATTGATACGCCATATAAAACTTGTCGTTTTCAATAACTAATCACTTTCTCAGTCCACATTAAGTCAAATTTGCAGAAGTCTACTGTACTAGTAATTTTTCTACATTTCTTAAAATGAGTAATGTGCAAAGGTTAAATACCTTAAAAATTTTCATATATTTTTTCTATAACCAAAAATTATTTAACATTGTTATATTAAATAAAGCTAAAACATTAATAAATCTACCATGATTAAGATAGCAAATCAAATTTGATGTAAAAAATGTTACAGCTTCTTTCCCTGAAACAATGTTTTTAAAATAGTAAAAACTATAAATTTTTCTTAAGTTATTCATTCATTCATTCAACAAGCACCATAATACAGTAATAATGAAAATAAACTTAAAACAGTTACCACAACAGCATTTGTGGTAAAAGTTCAAAGGCCATATTACAAAGACGATTTACCAGTCAATTTAAAGTGTGGAAAAATATTTGGTATTCTCACATTTATGATATTAACAGCATTGTAGTGGCTTAGATGTAATTTTTAATAAATTATTTATTGAAAAAAAAGCAAAAAATGTTCAAAAAAATTACATCTGCTTGATAACTACAAAGCAGACAAATCACTATATCAACTTTTATTTTTTGCTTAAATCATAAATGATATTATAAATGAAAGAATACCAAATACATTTCCACCCCTTAAAGTGGCTAGCAAACTGCTGTTTGTAACTCGACATTTGAACTCACTGCCTAAACAAACCTTCATACACCCTTATGTTCGGTAACAGTTTTTTTTCTTTTTCATTACTTCCACCCAGTTCATTGTTGCTAAATTAATAATTAATCAATGTTTATATGTTGTTTGTTATAATTTTTATATTCCATTTAAAGTATCTTGTCCAATCTGTTTGCTATTTAGAATTCAATTAAAATGAATTTTTACAGCTGAAAAGATGAATACATATACAGTAGAACCTCGATTATCCGGACTAATTGGGGATGAAGGTAGTCCGGATAAGAAAAAATCCGGATAATCGAAACAAATACTTTAATTTGTCTTTTAATGATAATATAACACGTTTTCTTTTCAATGACATATCGGTAATATTAAAAATAAATACTGTATTTAAATCGTGATCAAATTTTCAAGAAACAAA